AGCGCGGGCATCATCTCAGATCGCATGAACCTGGGTAAGTTTCCGAATGGACTACATGAGCATACGATGCTAACACACCAGGCCCCGGCGAGATCCTCGTCCGCCTCCCCACCGATGGCGCCGCAGACCTCACGCTTCTCCGCAATCCGCAGCAAGACATGGCCGTTGCGGTGGACAGCAGCCGCACCGACCCCGGCGTCCCCGACGCGCTCGCAGAACTCCTCCGCACGCTGACCAACGCCTCCACTATCCGCCGCCTCGCATTCAATTCGTTCAAAGACCTGCACGCCTTCCAGCTCGCTGTGACCGGTTTCGAGGTCAAATTCGACGGGTGCGTTCCCTCCTTGCCCCTGTCCTGTTACGCCTCGTACTGTTGTTGTCGTATGGTACGACCACGTGACTAACACCATCCAGCATCGCCTCCACATTCTCCATCTCGCGCCGCCGCATGGTTGTGCCCATCTACAAGCAATGGACCGCGTCCACCATCCGCCTACAAATCGTATCCCAAGACAACGTAGTCCAACTCCTCGCCTTCTTCGAAGATTTCTCGCACGCCGACGCCATGAACTTCCGGCTCAGCAGCATGGACACATTCGAAAAGAAAGACAGCGGCGGCAAATACGGGCTGAAACTCGTCGACGCCAAGTTTGCTTTGCCTGTTGATCAGCGCAGGGGTGAGGGAAAAATGCAGAAAGCGGAGGGGCGCATTGCGGGGTGGACGGGGACGAAGAGGCGCTTTGTTTGTCTCGATGAGATTGAGTACCCCGGCGAGCATGATGATATTTTGATTATGTTTGATTCGGCGGAGGGTAAGTCAAGTCATTTCTTCTGATATTTGGGGTGGTGCTAATAGACCGCAGCGAGAGACCTCTTCGCCGACGCCCTGCCCGCGGCGACTATGGAGCGCAAATTCACCGTCCGCCGGAAGATCTGAACTCTCGACGCTTCAAAATCTGGTCGTCGTCTTCTCTTCGACACCAGGCGATACCGCAAGGAGTCGCCTTTCATCTCCTTTGTCTTCTTCCCTGTCTCCTTCGCATACAGCATCACCTCATTCGGGTTCGTTCGCAGTCCACGGACTCGCAAGATACCACTGGCGTTGGGCGAGTTTGTCCACATTTCTTGTTGTCTCACGTCCATGACACGCAGATACTGCTGTGCAGGATGATTGTTCCCAGCATATTACATTCGCTTCGAGGGTTGCATGACCAGGCGTCACTGCTTCTTGGCATAAGAAACATGCTCTGGGTGAGCATCAGAGAATTAGCATAGTTTGAAAATCTACGATGTATCTTCTCACACATAGATTAACGATTCTTTTGAATCCAGGCAAACCTGATGTCGAGTCCGACGCAAAGAAGAGCAGGGCAGCACGCAGGCTGAGATCGCAAGGTCGAATCCAATCGACGGTCAATGCCAGCGACGAGCGACAACAATTATTATAGGAGTGTGCGGCCCGGAGCAACGTGAGTCCCTAGTCTTTCATCTGGACGTGTGAGTGTCGTAAACGTCGCGGCTGTTCCTGCGTCCGCTTTCCGTCCGTTAGCCTTCGGCGGGCCTCGGCAAGGCTAACACAGTGGACTCGAGTCGACAATCCTCGATTGCCATCGGCAGTCAACTTGCGTATCTACCCCACGTTCATCATTACCAAGCAATACGTTGCGTGACGTCTGGCCAACGAACATGTGCAATTCTTCGCGATGGGTGCATATATCACCTTTGACCGCAGCAATGCCACATCTCGACCCACATTTGTAAACTCCTGAAGACAAGGAATCGGGACGAACGAATCACACAAATCCAAATGCCAAACATGAAGGAAGCCATCATCGCCAAAGGTCTCAAGACCACCATCCAGGATGTCGCGATCCCAGAGCCGCAGCCTGACCAGGTCGTTATCCAGGTCGTAGTCTCCGGCAGCAACCCCAAGGACTGGAAGATTCCTGAGCTGGTGCCAGACTACAACGCCAACAGCGGCGACGACATCGCCGGTATCGTGCACAGCGTTGGCTCGAATGTGTGGGAATTCAAGAAGGGCGACCGCGTCGCGAGTTTCCACGAGATGATGACACCAGGAGGAAGCTTCGCTGAGTACGCTGTTGGCTGGCAGCACACTACGTTCCACCTGCCGAAGGAATTGAGCTTTGAAGGTATGTGGGAATATCTGGTATTCAGTCGATTGCAAAGAAATCCGACACTGATCTTTTCTTGACAGATGCCGCCACCATCCCCCTCGCCGCCATGACAGCAGCCCTCGGCATGCACCAGCGTCTCGGTCTCCCCGACCCATGGACACCCGCGACCTCGCCCACACCGCTCGTCGTCTACGGCGGCGCAGCCGCAGTCGGCGCCTACGCAATCAAGCTCGCGAACCTCGCCAACATACACCCAATCATCGCCGTTGCCGGGCGGGGCGAGAAGTTCGTCGAGGGCCTGATCGACCGCAGCAAAGGCGATGCCATCGTCGACTACCGCAAGGGTAACGAGGCGGTCGTGCAAGGCATCAAGGACGCTCTCAAAGGGCAGAAGCTCTGGTACGCATTCGATGCGACATCCGAGCACGGCAGCTACACGAACATTGTGCAAGTCCTGGAGCCGGAGGGCCACTTGACGGTTGTCCTGCCTGGCAAGAAGTACGAGGGCGTGCCTGAGAGTGTAAAGCTCACGACGACGAATGTTGGCGCGAGTCATAAGGATGACAAGGATTATGCGTATATTATGTTCAGGTACTTTGCAAGGGGGCTCGCAGAGGGATTTTTTAAGCCGCATCCGTATGAAGTCATTCCTGGCGGATTGGAGGGTGTGCAGAAGGGGCTGGAGAATTTGAGGGATGGGAAGGCGAGCGGTGTCAAGTATGTATTCAGGATTGCGGAGACACAAGGGGTTAAGAGCGCTTTGTAGGGGAATAGTGAGCCAAATTCAGGAGCGCTGACTTTCGCGGGTGTGCTTGGACTTTAGCGTGCTGGGACTTCAGCGTGTTATGGAAGCTTCGTCTTATATACTCATGGGAGTGGTCATTGTGCTTCGGCTACTTTCAAATGCGACATTCCATGACTACGACTGCCAAAACCCAGAATGGTTCCACAAGACGTGCCTAATGATCGTGCTTAAGGACGCTCTTTGTTCTGGTCACTTTCGAGTGATGTCGCTACATGGGAATATGCCATTTTTGAGTACCTGGTTCTCCCCAAGACGCATCAATCCTGGTAACCGCCTTTCAGAAACTCTGCAATCTTACTTTCCATCCATCTGACGTCCTTCTCGTTCGCGCCACCACCACCAATGTGCCCCCATATGCTAGGCACAACCGCAATCTGCCCGCCTTTGAGGGACTGCACCTCCCTCTCATTGGCCTTCGGACGAAAGTACTGATCAGTCTCGCAGGGCATAAGCAATACCCTTGCATCAATATGCTTCAACGCCTTGGCCAAATCGCCCTCAGAGCTCTGCCAGCACCTCGCAATATCACCCCGCTGCCACATTCCCAGCATCGCCAACAAGTCCTCGCCAGCCCACCCCTCGTACCCCTCGAACGTCGCATTCTCATCCCAAGCCTCCAGGCTATCAAATCCCATTTCTTTATACAGCTCCTGATCGAACCACTCCGCACTCGTCAACCACGCCGAATACCCCTTCCCAAACGCCCTAATCCCAGATTCGGCATCCTTAGCACTCTCCAGCGCCGCCCTCGGGCCCTCCAGGAACTGGAAGTTGTGTCTCGACGTCTTCGCGCTCGAGCACACAATCACCGCGTTCTTGACAAAAGACCGGTGCGTCGTGATCCAATGGTACGTAATCTGCCCACCCATGCTGAAGCCGAGCATGACGTCGACGTCTGTGATCTTCAGCTCCTCGGTCAGCAGCGCGTGCTGCGCTTTGACGCAGTCCATGTACTCGAGCCGAGCTGGGAAGTTGGGTGTGTTGGACGGCGAGGAGGATTCGCCGTTGCCGAGTAATGCGATCAGGATTACTTTGTAGTCGCGCAGTGCGTAGTCCGCGTGTGTGAGCGTGGTGGAGAGACGGCCGCGGAAACATGTATGTACCACTGCTACCTTTTCCTGACGAGGGTTGAGGATCTGGTAGGCCAGGCGCACGTTGGGGAGTGTGCCACCATTGTGGAAAGTGAAGTTGGGGATGTCGTAGTACTGCACTGGAGGAGGGCCTTGGGAGGTCATGATAGCGGTTTCCAGGCTTGAGTAACTCGTTGTTTCTGGTTTCAGATGCAATTGATTGTTGTTGATGTCTTGGTATGCGATGCTGGATATGGAGGGGAAGTCGTGGTTGGATGGTGGTGATGACGTACCACAGCGCAACGGAAGGGAGCTGCGTCCGAGGATGGTGGCGAGCATGACCACGACAACGACAGAACATCAACACCAATACATTGCACGCTCCTATCTCTTAACCAGAACTACTTTCAAATACGCTCAACATCGATCACCAGCCCGTTCAATCCATCGCAACCGTGCCAAGCGCCCGCCTTGTCAGCTCGACCACACCCTACATTAACACAAAGGTCAAGCGCCAGAGTTCCCGAATCCAATTTACGATACAAAGGATGCATTGCCTGTGCTACGGACGACTCGCTTTAGGCGTTGCCCTGCCTACGATAGCTGTCTACTTGACGCCAAAGGACGAGGATTCGAAGGAGCAGCCAACGAAGACGTTGAAAGCTACGCATACAACCAACGAAACTCAACAGAGAGCTCTGCATGCTATCTGAATGGCCTCTTGGACGTTCCTGATGTTGTTTCATTGCGTTCGGACCAGTCCAGCTTCCGTCAAGCCTCGGTCGAGCCCCACACGCCCCACACCACACTGAACACTTTTCAGGAGATACCGTCCGCAATCAAGCCAGACTTTCCAGAGGTCATTCAAGGTCCAATGTACAATCTTGCACTGCACCTTGGTATTGATCGCGCCGTTGATTTGTTCGCAATTGGGATATATTGTTCTAATCAAGGAAACTTTCATCAAAGCAGCTACAACAGCTCCACGGGCTCGTGGTTTAGTGGTATAATACTCCCTTAGCATCAAGCCCTTGATTGGGAGTGGTCCGGGGTTCGATTCCCCGCGAGTCCAGCTTTTTTGCCGTCGTTCGGGTCGTTGTAGGGTTTGTTTTGGTGGTGAAGGTCAACTTTTGACCAGACTCAGCCACCACAAAGCCTCATCGACCGCTAAGGGTACCGAATAGACTCTTGTCGTCACCCTTACGCTGTTTCTCTTTGTCTTCCTACGTCTTGTTGTCGATTGCGTCGTCAGTATCTGACATCACTCTCTGGAGTACCACGTTGGACGATGCAAGCGATCCCACGGTTCAGTGGGCTGAACCTCACGCTCAACAACTGTGTCAGCTTGATAAAATCTCGACGACAAGTCTGCTGGGATTGAGCAATTTCAAAAGACTTTTCTGCGCAGTCTCTGACCGCAGGCCCTGCGTCACGTATCGACATCACCCCCCATCTGCCGTCGACGTTAGCGCGATCAATACAACCCGATTTACGATTTGCAAATCGAACATAGACAAGTAAGATTATCATAAACAACACAAGACAGGACCGCTCCACGGCCCGCGTTATCCTTGGATCCAAGTCCATCGATCACGAACTTGAGTATACAACTATGGGAAGTGTGCCACACCAGGACAGAGCTTGCTGGAGACCTCTCAACGACCCACAAGCGTGGTCTCGAGATACCTTACAGTCCACAGGCCAATTCGAGCGCCGACTGGACATCCTATTGCCTTGATTGCGATCGATCTATCTCGACCCGAGGTGATAGTGGCTTTGGGTCGGTCTACTTTTGGCCGAAGAAATAGAGCCGCAACATATTTCCTTGACGATATTGAACCCTGAAAGCACACTGAGTTCGTGGCATGAGAGTCATGCAGCTTTTTCTCCGCTGCACAATTGCGCCGGTCGCAGATAGTTATCGACTGGTGGGTTCTGAGTCTTCGCCATCGCATACGTCTTCAGACATAGCAAGACACCCAGCGTACGGTGGTTTGTGGGAAGTCGGGACATCTGCAACCGAGACGCAAGCACACTTAGCGTTTTGCGGGGTGATCGACCTCACATGGCTTCTTCCGGGTTCTCGTACCTCCAAAAGAATCAGCCAGTCTCCAAACATGGGCAGGGCGGAGTTATACGATACCAATATAACAGGTCTTGGAAGGCTTGGCAGCAGAAGCAAGTATCGCAGTAGCGCACCAATGAAACCGGCAGACAGATACTTGCCGAAGACGAGGCCTAGGATTCGGTATTAAGGGCTGTCAATTGTTTCACACCAGACCTGACGCCATCTTGGTACATATCGCCTGGAGAACGCTAATTCTTGGAAAGCCCAGTGCGCACCAGATTTTGTATTGGACCAAGACTGCTAAGAGAAGCTGTCACACAAAGTTTCCAGATGTGCTCAGTGCTTAGCCGAGTACGGGACATCCCTAATAGATCTACACAAAACATCGTCAATGTGTTCCTCCAACCGGAGTAATACAGCGGAGGTCGATGCACCGCACTCGCAGTCGGAATTGGGAAGCCCTCTTATACAATATATAAGTTGCACTCCATGAAACTGAAGGATCATCAGCATCGATCGCAAGTTCGCAACAATGGTTCACTTCTCCCTTCTCGCATCAGCGTTGGCGCTTGTTTCTGCTGTATCCGCCCAATGCGGTTCCGGCACACCCGCAGCCAAAGTCACTGGCTCGGGTAGCTCCTTCACTGCAACTCGAGGCTCCACCAACGTATACACCGGCTCAGACTACCGGGCCGCGATTCAGGCTGCCGTCGACTCCATCAGTGCCGGTCAACGTGTCTCAGTCATCGCCTCTGGCTCCATCGGCGCGAACACCATCACCATCCAAGCTGGCAAGATCTTCGAAGGCTGCGGCACCATCAACGCCGCCAATCGGTCCGGCCGCGGCGCCATCGAGGTCACCAACGCAAACGATGTCCAGATCCCCTACCTCACCATGACCGGCGCACCCTACTTCGGCCTCCGCTTCTCCGGTGCCAACGGCCTCGTCCTCGGCAAGATTACCATGAACCTCAGCGGCGGTCTGGGTATCCGCTTCGACCGCGACCGCGCGGCCCAGTCCAACGTCAAGATGGACGATATCCGCGTCACTGGCGCTGGCTCGCACGCTGTCGAGACGTGGAATATCGATGGTCTGACGATCAACCAAGTCATCGCGCGCAACGTGGGCGAGTCGGGACTGCTGCTTCAGAATTCGATCAATGTCAAAGTCGGCCTTGTCGATGGTGATAATGTTGGTGCGGGCTCAGGATATGGCACTCTTCGCTTCGCCAATCGTAACGGTCGCAATGCGAACGGCAACTACAACACTAACGTCTACGTCGACAAAGTCAAGTCGCGTGGTGGCGGTCGTGGCGTCTTCTGTGTTTCTGAGTCGGGTGGTGCGGTCATTACCTCGGTTGATCTTGCGAACAACGGCAACAACGCCGTCCTCATCGAGAACTGCTACAATGTCTCCATCCGTGGCGGGACTGTCAACGGTGGTGGTGAGGTTCGCGTCTCTGCGCGCACCGAGTTCGCTAACACGCGCGATCTCTGGATCACGCTCCAGGTCGATGGGACCACAGTTCGCGAATCTCCCTGTGCGGACAACAGCAACTGGACCTTGACCGGAAGCGGCGCGAGGAACATTTGCTAGACTCAATCAGACAAATGACACGTCAATATCAGACCGTGTTTTGAATAGATATCTCTTCCTGTTAAGTCAAATGGTACCGATTTGCACGCAAATCGCTCTCTCTTCAGCAATAGCTGATAAAGCGCTTACTGAGATCTCTGCGCATCTTTTGAGGAATCATACAGGCATAGTTGCTACGCCTGGATGCGCGCCATGGTTTGGTAGGTTTTGCAGTGGTCTGGCGAAGCGGATACTCCAACCTTCGCAAGTGATGATTTGTGGGGAGCTCTGTGCATGGAGCCCAACCCCGCCCGCATGGTCACGGTTCCTTCGACTCGTCCACGCACCTGATAGTTCGCTAAGATCCCAGGGCCCATCGCCTACTGTCGCCAGAGTAGGGATTTGACGGCTGTATCGGCCACCGCTACAAGGCGACACGTTATATGGAAGTTCTTCAGGACATGCCGCCCAAAAAGCTACCCGAACAGTTGTAAGTGTCCGAAGTTTGAACTTGCCAGACCAATAGAAAAGACCAAGTTCATCTGCGGTGCTGGAAACAGGGTCTCCGAGCGGAATCGTTCTGCCCGAACGATGCAGTATGGGTTCCAGCTGCGTACAGAATGGCAACAAGCTGCTATAACGTATCCTGGACGACGTGAGCCCTAGTTCAATGTAGGGTCCGCATGAGTAGCGCGCCTTTGTGTCCATGTTGATACGAAGTGTCCGGAGCACAATCAGAATGGAACACAAGCATAGGGATCTGCGTTCCTTATATGGGACTATGCTGCCCAGGCATGTTTTGTGGTCAGTGCCTTCTTGGACGTTTGTTGTCATCGTCTCCTCGCGGTTGTCTTGTGGGCCAAAGGTCAGCAGAACCTGATATGCCGACCTTCCAGACGTGAGCTCATAATCTACGACCATGTCGCCTCCGCCTTGAACGAGTCCCAGGACTGAGAAGATCCTATCATGCACGATGCTACATTTTTGAAAGCTCAGCTGGGCTAGCAAGCTCCATAGATTTTTTCCTGCCGCTCGGAGAGCATGGAGCTGGCTTGTAATTTCCCAGATATTTTATCGGATGATAAGAAGGGCCGGGTCGATAAGTGAGTCATCCACGATCACAAGAGCCTCCTGAGCGAGGATGACTTCCTGTGTGACCCAAGCGCGCTTCCAGTATTCGTTGCTAGAAATGTGTCGGAGAAGAGCTGAGTCTTCGAACTTCTGGATCCATTCAAACCCTTTCGTGTACTTTTCTACTTCTCCTCCACACTCGACAGCGGATGTAGCAGCCTAGTAAGCGAACAGACCATCACATATTTCGATACCTGAGATCTCTTGAAGTGCTGAGTATCCAAGCCAGGTGATGATTCTCTGTGCTCTCGAGTATATCTTGCTCCTCTGTGCAACCTGATGGTTTCTTTCGGACGTGCTCGCTTGATCGATACATATCGCATCTATTCAGAACTCTCTTTCCAGCTGAAAACTACTATAAGGTATAAGGTGTAGCGAGCTTTGACTTCCGATCTCAAGTGGCTTTGGGAATACCGTTTTCACGGATGCAGTAACCCAGTCACCGACATTCCTTAATGTGTCGTATATGCACTCTGAGGGCTTCGGGTCGTATGACGCCGACGGCACGGGATGGGCTGTACGGGAGCAGGAGTGAAATCGTAGAGGATCATCCAAGTTCTGGCATGCTTCGCATATCTCGGTTGACGTGTCGCCGTCGGACCCAGTGTACTCCAATGCGGGCAGCGGGATGGCTTCTTCTTCGAGTAACGAAACCGGCGGCATCGTTTCTAATGTTGCCGGCAACGACTTCGGGGAAAGTGGTGGATCCTGAGTTGAGCTTGCTACAGATGAGGATTGTCGCAGCCGTGTCGACCGTGTAGCAGGTAAGGTCGATTTCGGGTCAGTCTCCCTGCATGGAGCGGAACCCAGACGCTGAGCATGTTTCAAGAAGTCAAACAGATTTTTGACCAACCTGGGATTGTTTCGTCTGGCCTAAGTCGTCGCCTAGCAGCACAATCTGCGATGGGTCTTGCGGTCCTCATCGATACGACAAGCACTGACATGTGTCTTATATGGTGCTGGAAGCAAGATCTTACGTTCAGGCTTCAATGATTACAGCAGGGGCCTTAAATCCAAACTTCTAATACGCAAGCGTTCTTGAATAGCGACTTGTCGTTCTCGCAGCCAGGCCCCTGGCCAGTTGCGAGAGCTCCAGAGTCAGATCGTTACGCATGTTTGGAGTCAGAGATCGTCTTGAGCCTACTGATAGGACTCATCTGCCAGCAATGCTGGAACAAAGCTGCTAGCTGCATCAAGAATTCCCGGCGATCACGTCTCCTGCGGGACGCACAGCCTGGCGTTCTGAGCGCGGCATGGGCGGACTTAAGGTGAGTATCACAACAGGTAGGAGCCATCC